ATAGATAGATAGATAGATATAGATATATAAAAACTGGCTATTTCAAAGGTCATAACCTATTTCTCAAAAAGTTCAGATAACTAAAAATTGATATAAAAATACTTATAAAACTGGCCCTGGTGGGTAAGCAAATTGGCAAGTCCTGCTTGTGACAACAATGATAGGGAAATTCAGTTTTTTATGTAAATAAACACAAAACAATATAAACCTCATTTCCTTATCAAGTTTCTCAGCTTCTTCTTCTACTATTTTGCTATAGTAACAAAAATGTTCTACTGAAAGTTACTTTAGGAAGCATATAATAGTCTTCCCTCTTTTGTTTGAGCAAAAAGTAGATTTCTATTAATTTTGACCCTTTCTCCAAATTGACTGAGACAAAGCTGCTGCTATTGACTTCCAAATTTCTTTCTGAATAAAAACATCTAGCAAGATTTGACTAGTAGGGTTTTGAACAATATTGCACAAAAATCTTGTACAATTTGTACAATCTTGTACCAAAGCTTCCCTTTTTAAATAACTAATACAGCTAACAAAAAAATGAATTACATAATAATGATGTGTAGACCATCATTTTTTCCCTTCCTTTCTTTTTTTTTCTTTTAAATTCAAAGCATTAGAAAAAGTGCTTGTCAGCATAAAATGTTTTCCTTTCCTACTTCTATTTGGCCAAACTGTTTAAAGACAAGATTTTAATAGCAATAACCTCCTAATAAGAGTTAGAACCTTTGGCAGCAGGTGGTGCCACCTCTGCCTACAGAATTCCAGCCCAAACAATCTGCTCAGAATTGCTGAAAAATCAATAGAATGTGCTTATGACTCAGCCTGTTAAGTAGGAGGGCTGTTATTGTTATTTTAACTCCTGTCAGCACATGTGGGCATTTCTCCCTTTTGAGGTCTCTATTTAGCCAGGAGAGATCCCCCTTTAAAACTTCACCTGCAATAGGTTCTTGATCACAACAGCAGAATAGTTTGGGGCCTGGGTAGACCGCCTGGCCAGCTAATAGTACACAGAGAAGAGGTTTTCACAAGAGCACATCTGATATCCTAATTTACCAGTAGAACTGAATTTCAGAATGATTAATCTGCCTGTAGCATGCTTTAGAATGCTTAATCTGCCACSGACCAGAGCTCAGTGCTGATGAGGTGTTCATCAGTATGAGTCAAGGTACTCATGAGTCAGAGGGGTGATGAAAATACCAGGCTTTCATTCTCTTTTTTCTTGGCTGATATTGTGGGTATTGTGGTCGTACTGCTTGTTTTTCTCCCTTGCCAAGTGTTCTCAACAATATAAACAGTCATCAAGTGCTGCTCCTAAGAATATTGAAAACAAAACAAAACAGACAAAAGCTACCCTATTTTACAAAGTAATTGTTTTAAAGGATAAACTTCAATCATCTACAAATGATGGAAATAAATCTATTCTGAAGATAAAGTAAAATCTACACAATGTTGGGTTGTGGCAAATCTTAGTATTATTAGTGAGTTACAAGGCTGYAAGATATAATAAATACTTTCATATTTTCTGCTCTTCAAATGATTTTTTTTTCATGTCCTTATATCTACTTTCTTTCTAATTTGTCTATGTGGATTTCTTTCTTTCATTTTTTTTGTAGTGTAAGTTACAATTCAAAATTATAAATCAGCAATATAAAGCCCTTCCTTCTCTCTCTCTCTCTCTCTCTCTCTCTCTCTCTCTCTCTCTCTCTCTCTTTCTCTCTCTCTCTCTCTCTCTCTCTCTTTTTATTCTTTCTTGGATTGAACTCAGGGGCATTTAACCACCAAGCCACATCCCCAGACCTTTTTATGTTTTATTTTCAGACAGTCTGCCAAGTTGCTGAAGCTTGCTTTGAACTTTTGATCCTCCTACCTCAGCCTCCAAATTTCTGGGATTACAGGTGTGCTCCACACGCTCAGGTATAAAGCCTTTCATGATGCTATAAAGTCCTGCCTCAAAAACAATGGAGTGCTTTGGCATTCCAGAAGTGATGATGGGYTCCGTTAAGACAAAGTAAGGGAATCCTTAGAAGGTCAACACTGACRGGTATCAAGGGTACTGTCTGTGCAAAGCATCTACCTCTACCTCTGAGCAGTAACCCTTGCATACTTAGTCATTCCTTCAACAAGTGAGGATCCACCAGGATGGATAATGGCTGGAGATGATGGTGACCCAGTTCAGAACATGAAGTGGTTCCTGTGTTCAGCAGGAAGAGATGATATTAAGAAGTAGAACATGCCAGGGAAGTAGAATATGCCAGTTTGTATAGCACCTTGTTGGCCACAGTAGAATAYGGGCTTTATTCTACAACAGGTAGCCATTGGTGAATTTTGAATAGAAATATCATATCAATTGATTAAGATTTTTTTTAAAAAAAGATCACTCTGACTTATATATGGACAATAGACTACAGAAGAGTAAGATTGAGTGCAGGGGATACTATTATRGTATTAAAAGGGAGAGGCAATGGGTTTGAATGATATAGGTAGAGATGATGAAACATGATCTTGACAGGTATGAGCTTGGTACAGTAATGATTTACTATGAGGCTTAAAGAGATTAAAATAATATGCTCCTAATAGGTTGTTGAAGCTGGTGAAAAATCATTTTTCAGAGCCATTAACCACTGCACTACAATATTCAAAAGGAGTTTTAATGAGAAAAAATGGTAATTTATTAGTTACCAAGATTCAAACTTTAGATACATGGATCATCCTTCATATTTAGAATGACATGTATTATATTGCAATTATTCAATTCTGAATTTGGCACAATAAGGTAATTAGCAGTATTAGCAACTGAGTGCAAAGGACTTTATGTACCAAGCATTTTCACTCCTATTACTCCAGTCAGTTTAATATAACTGCCATGGTTAGGTGATATCAAAGATAATCATGTRTAACAATGCTAAGATAACTGCAAAATAAAAATATCTACTTAAATGGTTATATTTGCAGTATCACTGAATGAACCTTTATGTTTCCCATTAGCCTGCTTTCTCATTTTAGGTAGATATTGTGTCTTCCTTGCTTTTTAAACATCATTCCCAATGTGCATGAAAGGATTTCAATAAATACTGGTAGAATAAATTAAATTTCCACTTATGTGTCAACAGATTTTAGAATTAAGTGCTATGTTAGGAAAACAAAATTGAAAAAGACTTTTTTTAAACTTCTCCCATGGTTTTTAAGGAGAATAAAAGCAATTCACATGAGCCCCCCAAAGTATTTTTCTTTTAAGTATCTTAGAATTTTGAAGGTAGTATATACATTATGGTAATAGTCAATATTTCATCTCTGGGGAAATAACAGATTTCAATTATTATGTTATGGCAAAACAGTGAAAATCATGGGTCCCATTAGATTAGTAAAATCCTTATAAGTCAATAAAAAAAACAAAACAYGTTTCCATTTTGGGGAAAAAGAAACCAACAACTAAGCAAGACTGGTATGATATCATAGATGAAAAACTTTGGATTCCTCATACATAAACCCCAAACAGGCTTTGCAAGTCATACTTACACTATTTCCGCATTTAATTTTTAAAATGCTACAAAATATTTAGAAATAATAATGCCGAGCATCAGAAGATTAAAATATTGAAATGAGTCAACTGTGTAATACTAAGAATGAGCGAGTCAGACCTTCATGTATCAATATGAGTGGATCTAAATACAATGGGGGTGAAGGCAAGGTGCAGAAGAACATCTACAGCTTGGTGCCATTTATAGGCACTCTTAGGACATAAATAAGTTGGTTCATACACAAGTCACAGAAATATAAAAACACTTAAGAAAGTCTCAGTATCTTTAACACTGTGAAACTTCTTAGAAAGAAGGGAAGGACGATAAAAGAAAGTAAGGAGCTGGGCATGGTAGCACACACCTGTAATCCTAGGGACTCAGAAAGCTGAGATAAGAGGATCTCAAGTTCAAGGCCAGTCTGGGCAATTTAGCAAGGCTCTAGCTATTTAGTTAGCATTTGTTTAATTCAGATGGCAGGTATTTATTTTTAATATGTCATTCAATTTTTAATATGTTGCTTTGAAAATTTTCTTATAAAAAGCAATAAAGAAATAAAAACAAAGAACATTTCTGTAGCTAATTTAAGATTGTATATTGAGTGCTTCTAATAAAGACAAATTACATTAAAATATATTTCATGGCATGAGAAATCATTCATTTGTAATATTTTTGTAATTTTATTCGGATTTATCATAAGGATTTCGAGTTTAAAGAAAGATGGAAATAAAGTGTCTGCTTGTAAAATGACCTTAAATGTTCCTTTATTTACTCGTGAAATAATTGTCTATGTGACAAGTACAAATATAAGAATTTGCATTCTATGCATTTACTGCACATTCAGCAAATGCTCTCTAGTTTTTTCTTCCATAAATTCAGATAGAACTGCATGCCCCTAATGCATAAAATGGGCATGATCCCTGTAACTAACTCATAGGACTGTTGGAAGGAATAAATGAATTAAATTATGTAAAGAAAGTATGTAGAAACATGCTTGGTGTGTAGTAGGTGCTGAGGTGTGATTGGCTAGTGAAACATAGCAGAGATCTTTTCATTCTGAATTAGTTTAAACTCTATGAAGYGTTATCATAATGATTAAGTCAGTTAGCTATAGAATTAATAAATGTATTTMTCCCTTACCAAAATGAATTGATATTTACTTAAAGATTTTTTAAAAAATGATACTAGGAATTGAACCCAGGGACACTGTACCATTGATCTACATCTGCCTCTCCTCCCTCTCCTCCTTCCTTTTTTAAAATTTTGAGACAGGGTCTCCTTAAGTTGCTGAAAGTCTTGCTCAATTGCCCAGGCTGGCCTCCAACTTGGAGTCCTTCTGTCTCAGCCTCCCACTAAGATTACCAAGGTGTGCCATTGTGCCTGGTTTATTTAAAGAATTTTTTTTTTTTTTAAGAAACAAGTTAGCAAAGGTTATTTTTCACAGTTTTGGGTAACTCATTTGTAGTAGAGAAAGTAAGGTCTTACCTATTCAAGAAAGTGGTAAAATAGTCAAGTTTGTTATGTTGTGTCCTCAAAAGGTTGATAATATGTTCTGGCTTCTTTCTGTTAAAAAAAATAGAAAAAAATAGAAAGTTAATAATTTAATCCCTGATACACATGCAATGATTATATCCTATAACTCAATATAAAATTGAAATCCTTCAATTCAACTTTTTATATCAGKTAAGTGTGAGACTACTACTAGATGGATTTTATGATGGTTCTTAATAGTCCTCATATGTTGAGTATTTATAACTTGATAGGTACTATCTCAGATGCCTGAGATTAAAGCACTGAAAATACRAACTGGTCCATGCTTTATCTCACCTTTAGCTTAACTTCAATGATGCTTCATAAGTACTAAATCCAAGGAAGAGTAGATTTCTAAATTGTTTTCAGCTAGCAAACAGCAGGCAATTGTACTCTCTCTGGAGATAATACATTTGTCTTGATAAATCTTTGTTTAATTATATCCAGTAAATTTTAAAGGACTGGGACCTTTAGCTCAGTCTGTATTGATGCTATCCAGCACAGGGTGGAGAGAAATTATTCAACAACTTATTAAATTTTCTCTATTGAGTACTAAACTTATTTTGACACTCAGAATCCTAAAAGTCCTTTTGTATTAGTAAGTTCTCCTTAGAAAWGCCACCTAGAGCCCATACAGAATACTTCTTATTGAAGTGGTACCTAGAAATAAACAGAATTAACTAGAGGGCACTAGGCTTATTTTCTGTCTCATAAACCACTCAGGTTTAGTCATTGAATCTGCAGGGAAGACCAGAAAGACTGATTTAAAAGCTGAGGCCCATTTTGAAGTCCGGCTCTTATACAATAGAGGTATCTAAATAAATCTGTGTATTTTGAGAGCCTTTAGGCCCTGACTGGACTGTATTACATGCTCAAGGAAAATGTTACTCTAACCATAAAGCACTGAGACTAAAACTGTGATAGCTACTAACTCTTCTTTAAGCCCAAGCAGAAAATGCAAACTTGGAAAGACAGATAAAGATGGCTCAGTTCTTCTCTATGATTCTTTAAAGAGCAATGTAAGCCTGGCATGGTGGCACACACCTGTAATCACAGTGACTTAGGAAAGTGAGGCAGGAAGATTGCAACTTTGAGGCCAGTCTCAGCAATTTAGTAAGACCCTATCTCAAATAAATAAATAAATAAATAAATAGGGCTAGGAATAGAGCTCAGTGGAAGAGTGCCTGTGGGGTTCAATCCCCAGTACCAAAACAAAAACCAAAAAAACGCACTGAAAATAAAGGTATTTATTTAAAAGCAACAAATGTCGACTGGGCCAGGTTCTACATTAAGTGCTTTTACATGTATTGCTCATTTAATCTGTGAACATTCACATACCATGTGGAGCAACAAGCGAGTCTATAAAAGTTGGAAAGGTTTAACAGTTATGTAAACATAAAAAAAAATCCTGTAGGTAAGAAGACACATGGTAGAATTCTCCATTCCCTATAATAATTTGACATATATATTTATTTTTTTTTTGTTTTGGTACTGGAGATTGAACTCAGGGGCACTTAGCTACTGAGCCACATCCCCAGCCCTATTTTGTATTTTGTTTAGAGACAGGGTCTCACTGAGTTGCCAAGTGCCTTGCTGTTGCTGAGGTGGCTTTAAACCTACGATCCTCCTGTCTCAGGCTCCTGAAGCCCCTGGGATTACAGGCTTGYGCCACTGTGCCTGGCAATAGTTCCATAATTATTTTAGCAAGAAATGTTTGACTGCTGAAATCTTTGCRTACAGTTTCTTTTCCCCTTTAATCCTCAATATTTCTTGATTTTGGGATATATACATGTAAGATTGTCACRTAGAGTTTAAATAAACAATAATTTAGGGCCATTTAAAAATATTTTAAGGATAGATWGWTTTTGCATTGGCTTTTTCTTGCTAAGATCAAGTTACCTGATAAGAACAAYGTAGAGGAGGAAAGTTTTATTTGGGCTCAGGGTTTTACAGGTTCAGTCCATGGACAACAGACTCCATTACTTAAGACTGAGGTGAGGAAGAAATGCATAACAGAACCCCCTGGTGGAAGAAAGCCGCTCAGCTCAAGGCAAATGGGAAGCAGAGACAGAGAGCAATCCCRGGAGCCAGGGACAAAATATAACACCCAGAGCATGCCCCCAGTGATCTACTTCCTCCAGTCAGGACACAAACCTCTACCACCAAGTACAGTAGACCTTTCAAATTATTAATCTATCAGCACAGGAACCTGTAATCTCAGTGACTTGGAAGCCTGAGACTGAAAGATTATAAGTTTGAGGCAAGACTCAGCAATTTAATAGGATCCTCAGCAATTTAGTGAGATCCTGTCTTAAAATATAAATAAATAAAATGGAGTAGGATTGTGGCTCRGTGGTAAAGTGTCCTTAGGTTTAATCCCCAGTACAAAAACAAAGAAAACAAACAATAACAACAACAACAGCAACAACAACAACAAAAAACTATCAAATATATTAACCCACTGATGAGTTTGCAGCTCTCATAATCTAAAATCACTTCTCTTCTGAATATTCTTGCATTGCCTAACATGACTTTTTTGGAAGAAACCTCATATCTAAACCATAGCAGTTTTCATTACAAGAAAATTAAACTTTGTAGGTTGATTTTAGAACAAAAATAAAATGGTAAACCAGCATTGACCCTTGTTCAGATAGAGCCTTTGCATATTTAATAAATACGGAAGCAAATATCATACTTTATCTTTTCTTTCTTTTATTTTGTTTTTTGAACCAGGGATTGAACCCAGAGGCACTTAACCACTGAGCCACATCTCCAGCACTGACCTTCCCCACAGTGTTTTTTTTGTATTTTATTTAGAGACAGGGTTTCACAGAGTTGCTTAGGGCCTCACTAAATTGCTGAGGCTGGCTTTGAACTCAYGATTCTCCTGACTCAGCCTTCCAAACTGCCAGGATTACAGGAACATGCCACCATGACTGGATATTTTTTCTTTAAATTTCATGTTTTCCTTAAATGCTTAAAAGAYGGGCTAGGATTGTGGCTCAGAAGTAGAACACTTGCCTAGCACGTGTGGGGCCCTGGGTTCGATCCTCAGCACCACATAAAAATAAATGAATGGAATAAAGGTATTGTATCCAATTAAAAAAAATTAATAAAAAATACTTAAAAGATTATATTTTTGTAATTTTCAAGCAAGCATACATGTATATGAATAAGTGGGTAATTATATGTTATAACTGTGTGCTTGTGTATATGTGACCCTAGTAAAAATAAGGAGAGAAAAAGAAATTTTATGAAGTAGGGATTAGCAAAGTATGGCCCATGAACTAAATCTTTTATGTCACTGCCTATTTTTCTAAGCACAATGCTATTGTCACAGAGCCCTGCCATTTATTTCGGTGTTGGTTAGACCTGTTTTGATGTTATATTGCCAGAGCTGAGTATTTGTGACAGAGATGGCATGGCTGGAAAATCTCAAATAGTTACTATCCATCCCTTTAATTAAACTTTGTCTAACATACCTGATATCAAAGATCATGTTCATTTGAGTAATATTGAAAGAAATTATTTTTTTTGAAAATTCTGTCTTGTAGTCTTTTCAAAAATTAATTGATTAGTTATATATGAATGGAAGTGATACTGCAGCTCTAAACACCTACCAGTCAATTTCACCTCACAGGAGTTGGAAAATTGCCGGATGCAGTGGCACAARCCTGTATTCCCAGTGACTCAGGAGGCTGAGGCAAGAGAATCCCAAGTTTGATGCCAGACTCAGCAAATTAGCCAGACCTTATCTCTAATTTTTAAAAAATTTAAAGGGCTGATGATGTAGCTCAGTGATAGAGTACCCCTGGGTTAAATCTTCAGTAACCCCGCCAACACACACACACACACACACACACACACACACAAGGGAAATTACTGGTCAAAGCATGTGATGATTATTAGAAGTCAGTACCCATTCATCATAAAAAATTGCCCTCCAGAATCTTGATTTTTATGGGGGTTTTGTTTGTTTGTTATAAAATGAAAATGACTACTTTTTTCCCCCTAAACTTTATTTCCTGAGAAAGAGATAAATGCCATCTGGGATTCATTTTAAAAAGCAATTTACGAACAGTTCCATAAGTTACATAAAATTGAATAGTCATTTTAAATTAACATAATGCAGTTATTCCATATCCAAAGGACTAAATCACTTTAACATAGCTTGTGTTATGAGTATTATTTGGCACAGTTTTAGTATTGGATACAATGCATAGAGTGGCCGCTACATCCCTAAAATAATATGAACAGATATTTATAGAGCTTTCATTGTGTGTGCCAATGTTTTTAGCACATACATATTAATTTATTTATTCCTCACTATCAGCCTCTATTATTATCCCTAGTTTACACATGAGAATACAGGCCAATATAAATGTGTCCATCCCAGCAACTACCAAGTATCCAAACCTTTTAACTATTTAGCACCTCTTAATAGATGCTGAAAATCTGTTTCAGGTCTTCAGCTCTGATTTAAGATACTTTCAAGATAAAGGCTTGGGGCTCCCCTGGGAAGCATTATTTCATCAATGGCAACTTTCAATCTACTAGAAATATTTACTAAGCACATTTATTATTCAGCCCTTTAGGCTTCTTGGACAAATTGAAATTTACTCAGCTGTGGTTCTGCCCTTTTCTTCATTATTGCTCTCAGGTGACTTATGCCACTTTGCAGAAACTCTGAGGGCTGGATATAAATACTGTAGAGAATCATGACTCTCTCAACTCCTGACAAAGTCAGTTGCTAAACACATTTAAGAGCTAGCCTGCCCAAGGTAGAGAAGAGGATCTATATTGTGCATTGGCATCAAAAAGAAAGTGCAGCTGGACATGATGACACATACCTGTAATCCCAGCAACTCAGGAGGCAGAGGCAGGAGGATCACAAGTTGAAGGTTAGTGTGGGCGATTTAGTGAGACCCTATCTCAAAATAAGAAATAGAAAAGGCTGCTCAGTGGTAGAGCACCTCTGGRTTCAACCCCCAGTGTCTACCACACACACAGAGCAAAACAAAGAATTCAAAATA